CATTTCAATATCACACTCCCAGCAGAGTACCCACCTCCCTCTATCAAAGTCCCAAATGCCTGGTTCTGTGGAGCAACTTTCCAGTTCTGTTGTCTTTGGGCATTTGTTGCACCTTTACTGTTTGTGTGTTGTTAGGTCCCACATATGAGAGATCTGTGTTTCCTCTTTTTCTTCTTCTCCATCTTTTCCTCCTCCTCCCCTCTTCCCTTTTCTTCCTCTGCTTTCTCACCCTTCTTCCTCCTCTTCTCCACCCTCTTCCTCTTCTTTCTCTGTTTTGGGACCACACCTGGTGGTGTTAAGGGTTACTCCTGTCTCTGCACTCAGGAGTTACTCCTGGTAGGGCTTAGGGGACCATGGGGGATGTCGGAATAGCTTTCTGGATCTGTAATTGAGTATTTGGATTATTTCTGTATTGGCTATTGTACTAAGTGCTACAGTGATTATCAGTGTGCATATGTTCTTTTGAATTAATTCTTAACTTCTCTCTCTCTTTCTCTCTCTTTTTGCTTTTTGAGTCACAACTAGGGATGCTCAAGGGTTACTCAGGAATTACTCATGGTGGTGCTCAGGGGATCATATGGGGTGTCAAGGATCAAACCCAGGTTGACTGTGAGCAAGGCAAATGCCCTATCCACTGTACTATCGCTCTGGCCCTTTAACCTCTCTTTTAAAGAGGTGGTATGGCCAAGGAGATGGCTCAAAGGGCTGGAGCATGGGCACAGTGCTGGGAGTGGACATTTTTCCCCCAGCACAGTTAGATGTGACATCAAAACAAAAACCAAACAACTGTAAGAGCAAATGGCGAAAATAATAAATACTGGATGATCTTGCTTGTCTGTTAGAATAGAGAAATGACAAACCCTTGGCCTTGGGTTACCAAACTCAGACCACCAAGCAATGTGTTGAGGGGCATGAAGAGGTGGATTAGAAGTGGGCACTCTGGTGGTGTACAAAGGGTACAGGTCTCTGTATACCCAGACCATATATATGAACACTTTTGTAACCATGATACCTACCTGTAAATAATAAATTTGAAAAATTTTAAGAAAGAGCAAGATAGGTCCCACTTTCAGCACTTCTGACAGTATTATTTTAAGAAAATGCAATAATGTATTTCATTTGTTCATTGTATTTTTCTCTTATTTTGTTTTTTGGAAACACACAGCAGTGCTCTTGGACTACTTAGTGCCCGGGGATCACTCCTGGCAGTGCTCAGGGAGTCTACTAGTATGGTGTCAGGATTTGAACCCAATTCTCTTGCATGCAAAGCATATACTCAGCTGTTGAGTTCTCTCCCTCCGGCCTCACTGCTTTAATTTTTATAACTATTTCCAGTGTATGGGCTGGAGCGATAGCACAGCGGTAGGGCATTTGCCTTGCACGCAGCCAATATGGCCGACCCAAGTTCAATTCCTCCGCCCCTCTCGGAGAGCCTGGCAAGCTATTGAGAGTATCTCACCCTCACGGCAGAGCCTGGCAAGCTACCCGTGATGTATTCAATATGCCAAACACAGTAACAAGTCTCACAATGGAGACGTTACTGGGCCCGCTCAAGAAAATCGATGAACAATGGGAGGACTGTGGTTCCTGTGTATGAGCAAGTTGTACTGATTTTATTTTTTAAAGTTTTATTTATGTTTAAAAAATTCTTTTTGGCCACACCCAAATGCTCAGGGCTCTGCACTAAGGATCACTCTTGGTAGGGATCACTTGGAATCCCATATGGAACCATATGGGATACCAAGGACTGCAGTCATATAGATCATGTGCAAGGCAAACTGCCCTACTTGCTGTACTATCACTTGAGCTTCCCCTCCCTTCCTTCCTCTTTCTCATGAATTCTCCAGGATGGCTGAGGTGTGAGGCATTATATAAACAGAATATTAATAAATCTGATAATAAGAATTAGTGGGATATCTTAGTTTCTGGTCCTATTGCACTGCTGCTTACAAACAGGGCTGATGGAGATGGTACTGGGAAGAAAATGGGGGAAAGGAGATAATATGCACAATTCCCATTCTCTCAGTACTTGATCTATCAAACAATTTGTGGGTTTTGGACTCCTCTAATTGTTACAAAACACTGTATTGCGGATGGAGAGCTAGTTCAGGGCTTAAGGTGCTCCCCTTGCATACGGCCAACCTTGGTTTTATAACTGGGACTACAAGATACCTAGAGCTCTGAAATAAGCAACTTCTGAGCTCCAAGCTGGTGTTACCACATGGCCCCCAAACCAAAATCCCAGAAGTAAATTTTTGTATTGGAATCAGCCAGGAAGTGAATCCAAGGCCTCAAAATTAAAGTTGCTTTAGTTTTTGTTTGGTTTTGGTTCACACCCAGCAGTGCTCAGAGATTACTCCTGGAGGGTCATATGGAGTGCTGAAGATTGATCTTGGGTCTGTTTTTGTACATGATTGTTGTTTGGGGCCACATCTGGCATCTATATATTCTTCTGGCTCTGCTTTTATGGATCACCCCTGGAGGAAGGGAAACACAAGGGGTGTCCGAGATTGAACCCGGGTCAGCAAAGTGCAAGTCAAACTTCTTATCCACTATACTATCTTTCCAGCCCCTTTTTGTACATGATTTTACAAGGTGTGAACAACTCAAATAACCAGGAGGGTGAGTGAAGGGTTGTACTATGTAACAGCTTAGTCCCAAAGTACCTGATAATACAGAACCGACTTCATCATAAAGATCCCCGCGAAGCACCACCCTCAGCCCAGCAGCATTCCCTCTGGACGAGCCTGCCAGTGTCCCAAAAGCGTCCCGGTATGAGGTCACCGGCGGGGCACGTGACCGAGCGCCACATCGCCAGCCGCACCCCTCTACCCCCACCCTACCACGTGACCGGCCTACTTTCTCCCAGTTCGACCTGACGTCTCGTTCGAGAAGCCCCGCCCCACGCAGCGTGCTCGGCCTGCGAACTTCCACCCTTCCTCCGCCCGGGCTCAAGCCGGGCCCGCGGGCCCACGTGCTCCCTCTCGTCCAATAGGAGCCGCCACCCGGGCGCAAAGGGGCGGGGCGAGAGGACGACTGTTTTACGTCGCGAGAAAGGGGCGTGGCCTGCAACGTCGGCCAGAGCGAGGGGACGCAACGGAGGCAGGCCGGAGCCGCTGCCGTCGCCATGACCCGTGAGCACCGAGACCCCCTCCGCGTCCCCGTCTTGCCCTTTTCTCTCCGTCCAACCTCCGCACGGTTGCCGAATCCCGGCACTAACTGCCTTTGGGCTTCCCCGGCCGGGCCTTTTTCTGGGAGCTTTCCTCAGCGATCCGCAGCCGGAGCCCGGAAATCAGCCCTTAGCCCCCGCCACTTCTTGAGACGCCCCTTCCCCGCCATCAGGCTGAGGCCCTCGCCGATGCGGCGGGTAGCCCCGCTCGCCCGGGGAGCCCCAGCGCCCCTCTAGTCCAGACCCCAGCCCATCCCCCACAGAGCCCCAAACCTTCCTCAGCTATCACCACCTGTCTGGACCCCCTCCCCTTCATCCCGCCGGCAGCCCCGAAACAGCTCCTTCCCGAAAGGCTCCTGGGGACCGTTCTCTCCGCCCCCCGGTTTGACCTCTCCCCTGGCAGCTCACCTCCGCCCGCACCCTCCCGGGCAGAGCGCCGTGGCCCCTGCGGCCCGGTGTCCGGGCCCCGGCAGGGGCGAGTGTGAGGGTCGAGGGTCGCCGGCGCGTCCCCAGGGGCGCCGCGCCTCACCTCTCCCCTTTCCCTCTAGGCGGTAACCAGCGCGAGCTCGCCCGCCAGAAGAATATGAAAAAGCAGAGCGACTCGGTTAAGGGAAAGCGCCGAGATGACGGGCTTTCTGCTGCCGCCCGCAAGCAGAGGTAGCCCCAGGGAGGGGAGGGGACGGGAGGGCCCGAGACGGGACAGGCTGGGCTGGGCCGGGGACGCTGAGGCCCGAGTTGACCCAGGTTTGGAGCAGGAGAGAGCTGCCTCAGGGCCTGCGTCTGGACAGCGAGGGCCAGCGGTTGCTTCCTCTAGGGTTTTGTTTCCTCCCCACCCTCCGGATTGTTAGCTCTTCGCCTTGCAGGAAGGGACTGGGGCAGTGCCAGCCCTTGATGTGATTTCTGAGTGCCCGTGGGCCTGACCCAAGGGCAAGGGCAGGGAGCTTCACGTTTCACATGTCTAGTGGTTTTGACAGCGGATACTTTGCCCCTCCTTGCTGTTGGTTTTTCCACCCTTCTCCCAGCCTTCTCACTGGTGTTGCTGGGTGTGGTGCTGGGCACAGGATAGAGAGCCTTGGGCCCGAGTGGCCAGACTTCTGACTCTTGGGCAACAGCCAGATAAAGACTGATTGCCTTGCGAGTCTCAGCTCTCTTCCTCTTGTTCTCCTAGGGTGGGAATACAGCAACCACATGCTGAACTTTGTCCCATCCTCCATCTTATCCTCTGTGCCCTTCATCCCCCTGCATCTTGTCCTTTTTGCCCTCTGGTACCTCCCAGTGCCCCATCATCTCTACCCCCAGGGACTCGGAGATCATGCAGCAGAAGCAGAAAAAGGCAAACGAGAAGAAGGAGGAACCCAAGTAGCTTTGTGGCTTCGTGTCCAACCCTCTTGCCCTTCGCCTGTGTGCCTGGAGCCAGTCCCACCACGCTCGCGTTTCCTCCTGTAGTGCTCACAGGTCCCAGCACCGATGGCATTCCCTTTGCCCTGAGTCTGCAGCGGGTCCCTTACGTGCTTCCTTCCCCTCGGGTAGCCTCTCTCCCCCTGGGCCACTCCTGGGGGTGAGAGGGCTACCTCTTCCCAGTGTTTTTTATTCCTGTGGGGCTCACCCCAAAGTATTAAAAGTAGCTTTGTAATTCCTTGAGCGCCTGGTTTGACTGAGGGTTTGGGGGGATGGGGATGGAGGAGTGGCTGCCCTTTCCCACCAGCCGGGGAGAGAACTTTAGACTCTAAGAGGTTGTGAATATGTAGACTGATGGAAACATCACAGATAAATCCTTTATTCTACTATGACCAACAGGCAGGTTTTCTGGAAATGCGAGGGAGGAACCCTCTTAAGAACCATAGGGATTTCTTTCTGATTTTTGTGCCTCACCCAAGACCTTGGCCATCATCACAGCAATGAGGTTGGGGGCCTAAGAGGGAAGGCTGCAAGACCTACTTTATGCTCCTCTTCTTCATTCTTCCTGTTTGTTCACTTGCTCGAAAGTTGGCTCCCAGATCCTGCTGCTCACTGACCTCCCATCAGCTGTTGTCAGGTGTTCACATTCTCTTCCATTCCGTCATTCCGTGTGGAATGAGGGTGGTAGTTGTCTTCCCATTTCCTTTGACCTCTTAGATCAGGATTAAAACCTAGGGTAGTTTGTTCCTTTCTTCCTGTATCCTGGTTCGTTCTGGAGTTTCTGGGCTTCTTACAGCCCCGTGCCCAGGTCTGAGTTGCTTGTTTTCCTTTCTACCTCTAAGGGCAGAGCCACCTAAGTCTTCAGTCCCGGTGGTATTTCCCTGTCCCCGCCTTAAGAACCAACAAAGGGCTAGTGCCACACTGTCCACCGGAATCATGGTTCGTGAGCTGCTGGTTTGGGAGTTAGGTTCTTGAGCCAGCATGAAGACTTAACAGTAGCTCCAGTGAGTCAGAAACTAGAGACTGCCCAGGGCATTAGGGCACATATTATTGACTTAAGCTTAAAGGGAGGTAACTGCCCATTGTCCTTTTGTTACCTGCTGGACTAGACAGTTACTCTGAGTCAGAATTAGGGTCACCATCTCAAAAAAAAAAAAAAAGAAAAAGAAAAAAGCAAACAAAAACCAAAAGTTGGTTTGTTTAAAATACCTGGAGTGGGTATTTGTTATCTGGCAATATTGATGCAATGTCGACTGAAGATAGGGTTCTGGATGGCCGAAAGAATGGTTCGAGGAGCAGCCCCAGATAGAGCAGTGCATAGACCCAGCATGATGTAACCTTGACCCAGAAGGTAGCCCAGCTACCCCTGGTGAAAGTCGTCTCCAGTTCTGCTCCCTCATAGCTGTAGAAAGTCAAGTCTGGTTAGAGAACACAAGGCCTTAGCTTTTAAGCCTGACCTGTCTCTCCACCAAAGGTTATGGCAGATCCAGGTGTGTCTCCTGAGAACCCTTAAAAATGACTTGGAATTTCTCATTCCATGAAGTGACTAGTTTTTCTGGAGAGTATTCCCGGCCCACCTTCATCTTACCTGAACCAGTTGGTAATGGTAACCATGACATATAGTAAGGCAAGGAAGAAGACAAAGTAGAATGTAGAGTAGCTGTAGGAAAGATTCTGGGCTTGCCGTAGAGGAGCTGGAGAGGTCTCTTGGTCAGCTGGCTCAGCAGCCCCAGCCCTGTGTCCTGGAGTGAGGGGAGGGCTGCACTGAACTGTGCTACCAACACACACCCTCCTTCCCCGTCTCCAGCTTCTGTCAGAGTGTGAGGGCTCTTTGGCACTGCAGAAATTTCTACTCCTACGGATCATCACTTAACACTCACCTTCCACAGTTTGTGGGCAGCAAAAAAGGAGTGTGGTCTTCTGTAAATCAAAGGCAGCATGTTTCCAAATGACTATGAAATAGAAGGTCACATTCTTTGAAAAGATTATAGTCTCGTAAAATGTGGAGGCACAACTGGGTTCAAATTTTAATTCCAGCATATAAATGGCCACGGGAACTTTGGTAAGATGTTTAATCTTCTGTGCCTCAATTTCTCCATTTGTAAAATGGAGCTAATACCTACCTCACAGGGTTGTTGTGAGGATTAAATTAAATGAGATTGTGTATGTAACATCTAGCACAGTGCCTAGCACATTGTGGGTACTCAATAAAAGGTAATAGCAGTTAGAATCTGAACATTCTGGGAGGTTGGTAGGATGTGTGTGTATGTGTCTGAGTCTGGGGGGGGAAGGGTTATTGGGAACACTGAGCTCTCCACCTTACCTGGAACTCATAGCTGTAAACATTGATGATCCACATCCCAAATAATCCAGCCAGGTAGGAAGTTTCATTCATTGCTGAGAAGGAATTTTCAAACTGCTCTAGTACAATAACAGGAGGGATGGCCTGAGGGTACTTCTTATTGTCAGCTAATCTAACCCTCAAGAAGGTGCTGTGTTCCCAAATTCCTGCCATTACCAGAGATTATGAGCACACAAAAAACATTTGCATAGTGTTTTTTTCTGTTTTCTGGTCTTTTGGGATTTTTTTTTTTTGAGGTGGTCACACCCCTCAGCGGTGCTCCTGGCTCTGTACCAAGGGATTACTCCTGGCTGGGCTCTGTGTACCATGAGATGCTTGAGGTTGAATCTGGGTCAGCTCTGTGCAAGGCATGGGCCTTACTTGCTCTGCTGTTGCTCCAGTTCAATATTTTCAATTTTCATTATATTCCCCTCCTCCCTTTATCTCATACAGATCATCTGACAAGGGCTAGTCTTAAAATTGTTTTGTCTCATGGGGAGTTTTTTGTTTTTTTTTTAAACTATAGTCCTAAAGTTCAGATAAACTATGATCCCTGACATTTCTGGACCATCCACTCCTGTCCTGGCATTGCCCTCCCTACCTCCTACACCTTTTCCCTTAAAATCTTTACGCACCAAGCAAAAAGCACACAAGCATACATGAAGCCAGCACTTAGCACTGCCAGAAATGTATCTGGTGTTTGGGATTCCATTTTACTTAGTCCAGGCAGGCACAGAGTGTGATCCTGTCCCTGAAGGATTACTGAGAAGAGGCAATAGAGAACATAGAGACCAAGCAGAAACAGCAGCTTGAGGATCCAGAAGCTTGTTAGTATGGAAAGAGAAAACAACATTCAGAAGAAAAGGCAGAGTAAACAGTGCCTTTTAGAGTAAGGCAAAGATTCTTGAAAGCAAAATTGTAGAAAAAGGGAGAAGAAACAAGTAGGAAAAGAGGAACCAATTCTGTGTGAGTTGGGACTGGAAACAGGGTCACTGCAGCCTAACTCAGATCTTAATATCTGGACAGTTTTACAATTGAGGATGCATACAGTACCCTACCTATTAGCCAGTGAGAAATGCAAGGAGAGGTGTGTAGCTCACTGTCACAAATATAATGGAAACATTATATTTCCATTAAACCCATTTTCAGGTTTTTTTTTTTGACATGGCACCATTAGTGCTACTGCTTAATCTCAAAATTTTCTTATTCAGCTTCTGTCTCCTTCCCTCTAGTCCTCTTTGCACCCAGGGTTCACACAAACCTGTTACATAGCTGTGCCTGCAGGCTGGTAGGGGAGTGGATGTGGACCAGCAGCACGCCTACAGCAGGTGAAAGGTGGCAGTCACTGCACATACTCAGTACACTGCTGCAGAGCTACTGAGCATTGGACAATGAGAGAGGCCAGCCAAGTAGATGGGTACACAGTTCAGAAGGCATCCGGATCTGGAGGGTGTGGATGAGAAATGTCTTGGCAGCATGGACAGAAGTAGCTACTTCTCAGGGGCTTGCCCCTTCGTCCCCTCCCTGAATCTTCTGTCGAAGGGTTCTCCTTTTATCCTTTGCTGTGTTGCAACCTGGCTACCTCCCACTCCATGTGCCTTGCCCCAGACTCTCCCCTACTGTCCTTGATAGCAAGCAGGAGGCAACAGAGTGGGGCAGACTGCTGAGGCCCCTAAGTGCAGGAGGGTGTGGAACGTACAGCTCAAAGTACACTCCGTGAGAGGGCGCCACTGGAAGTCGCAGCAGCAAGTATAAGGAACAGGCCCACAGCAAGACATCTGAGAGTAGAGCAAATACAGAGCAGCTGGGTGATTCGATTCACTGAGGATTTACATGTGGACAATCAACCTATGAGGTTGAGTTCCAAAATTTCCACTTCTCCCCTTTTACTCAGAAATTCTCGGAATTTCTGGTTCTAAGCTGTGTAGGTTTTTTCTTTTTTTGGGGGGGGGGGGAGGACGGTATACACTGTTGGGAGTGCCATGTGCTCCATACTTCTGAACTATCTTTGAACCCTTGAAGCTATTTAGAATTGTCTTCTGTTAAGTAGACAATTTACCCATGATTGCAATTCTCTTTCATCATAAGAGACAGAGTAACAACAAAGTCTCCAGTGGAGACGTTACTGGGCCTGCTCGAGCAAATCGACGATCAACGGGAGGGCCTTTACCTTTACCTTTACCATAAGAGACCTGCAATCATGGGTAGACTTTCCCGAACACTTCTGTAGCACCTATCCTCTAACCTTTCCCTAGACCTAAACATTTGCAGCTGGGCCTATGGGAGGAGTTTTCTGATAATCTTAGAGGGCAAAGCCTGGCCTATTTTTATTTTGGTTTTGGAACACACCTGATGGTGCTTAGGACCATGGGTACTGATTATACAAAAATCTGCATGTAGCAGTGGTGGGGAATGTTCAGCTGGCAGGTATGCAAGGCCAGTAAAGTCATGTAATCTGGTCCTGATACTGGTATATGATGGGACAGACACGGATGCCTCCTCAGCTGCCCTGTGACTCAGGAATGATGTAAGTATCAAATGACCCTTGGCAGACAAAAAGGTTCCTACCCCTATTTCTCTTCCTCTAGGAAGGCCCAATACCTCTATTGGCTCAGGTGGGTTTACTTACCCAGCCTCAGCCCACATCCAATTTTCTTCTGATCGCTCTTTTAGAAGGGAGCTTTCAGATCTTTATGCCCAAATAGAACTCTCTCCTTGATAGAAGGGAGGGTTCCCTAAGATACTGTTGACTCCACTCACTGCGTTGCCGTGCCACGTGGATGGAGTTGCTGGAGCTTTTGTTGACTGTTGGACCCACCGTCTTATCCCAGGGATTACATCCTGGGATACCAGGTGGATGGTAGAGGCATCTTTCTTTGCTCATCCATCCCATTGAACTGAGGAGTGTCGCCCACTGCAAGGCAGGATATAGTACAATACCAGAAAAGACATACGGGCGAACCGCCAGAGGTCCGTCAGGCCCCACGGCCTGGTCTCCGCCCTAACGGGATTCATTTGCACATCTGGTCTGGGGGATTAGCATTCTTGCTTGGTTTAAGATTAGACAGCCTTTGTGGCTGAACGGGAGTTTGGTGGAGGGAAGTTGTGTTTGTGAATCTAGGTGGAGGGAAGGATGTCGGTTGGGTAGCGGACACCGGAGGGGTAACTAGCGGTCACCAGTGGGGAGGGAACCTTTCACAAGACAACCCTGCGGAAGCCCGAGAAGCCGCGAGAGAACAGTTCCCCGGTGAAGCTTCTAGAACCAGAGTATAAAGAAGGTGCAGCCCGGGGGAAGCCCCGCCTTCTCCGCTCCGGGCGGAAGTTGCGGAGCCCTTACCGGAAGTCGTCGTGAGGCGGGGTGGGGTCTGTGCCGCGGCGCGGTGGATCGATATGGCGACCGAGGGGGACGTGGAACTGGAGTTGGAGACGGAGACCAGCGGCCCCGAGCGGCCTCCCGAGAAGCCGCGGAAGCATGACAGTGGAGCGGCGGACCTGGAGCGAGTCACCGACTATGCGGAGGAGAAGGAGATCCAGAGTTCCAACCTGGAGACGGTGAGGATGGCCGGGAGCGTGCTGCGGCGGGCTGGAGGCGGAGGGGCTCTATGCTGGGACCGACAGCTGCGGGGCCCACCGGGGAGGAGCCGCCGCGCCACTTAGGAGGGCTTTAGGATGAACCTCAAGTTCACTAAATTGGATTAATCACTTGGCTCACCGGGAATATGCGTTTGTCACTGGCTCTCCCTGATTACTGGGAATTGTGCAGTGTAGAGGAGTAACTAGATCTGCCTTTCCCTTAGGCCATGTCGGTGATCGGAGACCGACGGTCCCGGGAGCAGAAAGCCAAACAGGAGCGGTAAGTCCTTTGCAGGCAGCCAGCCCTACCAGATTTTCTTTGCCCCAGACAAAATTAACCACTGATCGTATTGCTCGACCCAGTCACCCGTTCATGAAGATCTAAGGTTTAAAACTGTATACTCTGGAAGGAAAGGTCCCCTGGCTACATTTGCTGTTTAAAGACTCCAGGGGGAAAGACCAGGTTATGCGAGGGAAGGGGTTGGGGGTCATTTTTATATATTCATTCAATAGGCAAGCCTTTTATTTGGAAAACATAGCTGGGAATGATTCTTCCCTGTAATTTCTGCTCGGTTTAGAGAATAAGAATTAATATAATTGAATATTTGCAGGGAGAAGGAACTGGCAAAAGTCACCATCAAGAAGGAAGATCTGGAACTGATAGTGAGTAGCAATGGCTAATGTATGAGCCCAATTAAATTTTGCTTAATTTGTGTTGTTAGTGAAGTAAGTCAAGTCAGCATGTTTTGTGGCATATGAAATGACCTGGGGAACGCTTTGTTAGCATCATTGCTTCCTTTTCCTGCAGATGACAGAAATGGAGATCTCCCGAGCAGCTGCAGAACGAAGTCTGAGGGAACACATGGGCAACGTGGTAGAGGCTCTTATTGCCTTAACCAACTGACCGGTGCATTATCAGGTTTACCCAGTGGATTAACTTATTTCAATAAAGAGTTTTTTTTTCCCCCCAGTTTTGTCTTGGATCAATAGCAATCTTTGTTGTCTTTTACTGTGAACAGTTATTGTGTTGGAGTATAATGATTGAATTCCACCAGCCACATCTTTAGTGGACAGAGAGAAAGGATTAGCATGGGCAAAGGATCACTTGTGCTAATGCTAGATGACAGGCCGGGCTCATACATCTGACAATCTCACCAGTATTCAAGGTAATTTAAAATCTCAGCAGTGTCACTGTGCCCTATGGCATGTCTGTAGGCTGGTTTGGAATAGCTAAACAGTTTTTAAAGCTGGCTAGGAACCACTCTGTACCTATGTCACCACTCTAGTTCATAAGCCAACTTTAGAATTAGATTTTATGTACCTGAGGTGGGAACACATAAGAGCATAAGATACCAAAGCAAAGAGTCTCACAGAATTAATACATAAAAGATTTTCATTTAGAACCAGGAAAATAGTAAAGCAAGTAGAGTGTTTGCCTTGCATGTGACAAACCTGGGTTTGATCCCTGGGACCACACATGTTCTGGTCCTTTGAGCACTGCTGGGTGTTGCCCACCTCTGAGCAGTGCTCAGCACTTACTCCTGGCTCTGTACTCAGGGATCACTGCTGGCTTAGGGGTTGATAAGGAGCCCCAGGAATTGAACCTATGTCAGCTACATGCCTCACCCAATATATTATCTCCAGGCCAAGTCATTCCTTCTAATTCTAGAATTCCAGTGCTCTGCCATGTTTGGTGGTTATATGTAAATCTATTGTGTGTATGTGGGTGCTAGGGATTGACATACATAAAAGGCATGAGGTTTTCCATTAAGCCATATTACTGGACCCTATATTTAGTGTGATGTCACTATACTGCCCAGAGTACAGTGTTAACCTGGAAAGGTAAGTAGGTAAGAATAAGTTAACAATAGGTACTTGGAATCCCCATTTCATAGGTAAACTTTGGTGTTCCATACAACTAAAACTTAAGAGAACAATTAATAAAACTGGGTTGTCACTTAGAATATAGCCTTCTTATAACTGGAGAGTATTTTACTTATTTTGGGTCATATCTAGTGATGCTCAGGGCTTACTCTTGGCGTTGCTCAAGGAACATATGGGATGCCTGGTATTGAACCCAGCTGGGCTGCGTGCAAGGCAAACACCCTACCTGCTGTACTATTGCTCTGCCCCCCTGAGTGTTTCAGATCAAGGGGGATGATCAAAATCTGAAATAGCCTCTGCCTCACAATGCTTTTTGTTTTGGGGCCACACCCTATGATGCTCAGGCAAGTGCTTTACTCACTATACAATCTCTCCAGCCCTTTTAATGACTTTCTTTAGTATGGGAGATACTTGTCAGCCTGCACATTTTATATACGGTGTAGTTTTATTCCTTTGATTTTGGGGCCACACCAGGCTGTACTCAGGGGGACCCCATAGGGTACTGGAGATTGAACTTGGGTTAATGATGTGCAAGTGTAGGTAGACCCTACCTGCTGTACTCTGACCCTTATCTAGTATCTTTTTTTGGGGGGGGGGGGGAATTACACCTGCCAATGCTCTGGGGTTATTCTTGGCTCTGCACTCAGGAATTATTCCTGGCGGTGCTCAGGGGACCATATGGGATGCTGGGGATTGAACCCAGGTTGGCCGTGAGCAAGGCAAATGCCCTACCCACTGTACTATTTCTCTGGTCTCCCCATCTAGTATCATTAAAAAACACCCTTCTTGGTGTGTGATTCTTTTATTTCTTGGCACACACAAATGGATCAAAAAGTGTGTTCACGTAGAAAAACAGACTCCAATTAAAAACTCAAAAGAGGTTTCAAGAGCATAGAATTTTCTGTAAAATACATTGTTTATATGTCCACATTTCTCAACCAAGCTAAGGGGCTGGGAAAAGAAACCTGGAATAGTCCAAGTGAATTTCGGAAGCCAGGGTAGTAAGACCTACGGTCTCTCACACCTAGTTTTAAATGGGTATCTTCTGATCCTATCTGAATAGTGCTTTTCTGTGGTTTTCTCAGTCTGAGTCCAAACCTCACAACGCACCTTCAAAGACCGCATCACCAATGTCCACAAGTTATGGCAGTAATTCCAACAGGATGGTTACAGGGTCCATGTAAATAATGGTAAAAGAAAACCAAGGACCAGATGCTGAGACTTCCTCTTGTTCCACAGCTAAAAGAATAAATAGTCGAACTCTTAGGTGGTTTTCCGCTTCTTGGCAGATGGTCGTTCAAATACATCTCGTACCCCTGCTGCTTTTTGTTTAAAGAATTTTGTGTTCTGGGCACTCTCTTGACCCCATGCTGAATCAAAGGAAGTGGTGTCTTGATCCACAAGATGGGTATATTTGGTACGACCAGAGCGCCCAAAGTTCTTGACCTAATAGAAAGACAAACATGTTATACTACTAAACAGATCCTAGCCCAAAGTAACATTACTTTTTATCCCCATTCTTATTAAAGTACCCATACCTGCATGACTTTAGGAAGAATGGTTTTATTGAAATGATCCTCGAGAGTAGGTGCACTGAAATCTCTCTTGTAAACTTCTTCATCCTCATCCTGTAAAAAAAGTCTTATTATTAATCTGTGGTTTTATTTCTCATATATTCAAACTACAATTTTAATAAATTGCAATGAGGGATACGAAGAAAGCAGAGGATACTAAACTTTTTTTTTTTGAGCTTATACCTAGCTGAAACATTTTACTTTGTCTTTCTTATTCCTAAAGAGACTTTTTTTTTTGACCACACTGTTGGTGTGCCGGTATCATTTCTGCTAGGGCTTGAGAGATTTTGAGAGCGTAGAATTTTCTGTAAAATACATTGTTTATATGTCCACATTTCTCAACCAAGCTAAGGGGCTGGGAAAAGAAACCTGGAATAGTCCAAGTGAATTTCAGAAGCCAGGATAGTAAGACCTATGGTTTCTCACACCTAGTTTTAAATGGAGGTAATACAGCAAGTACAATGCTGGGCCATGTACAAGGTACTGCTATGTTAAGAAACACTGAGGGGCCAGAGCATTAATAGATCAGGTAGGGCGCTTTCAATGCATGAGGTTGACCTGGGCTCAATTCCCAGCACCACATATGGTCCTCTGGGCCTGCCAGGAGTGACCCCTGAGGCAAAGCCAGGAGTAAGCCCTGAGTGTGGACATCCGTGGCCCCCAAATTAACAGCAACATCCACAAGAAACACTGAAGCTGCTGAAATGCTTAAATATACTTTGTGACTCTGAAATAGTACAAGAAATAATTTCCACTGACCCCATTCTCCATGTAGAAAACTACTGGACTGAGTATCTAGATAATGAGCAAGCATTTTCTGCTTATCAGAAAACACTGAATAGGGCCTGAGAGAGAGTATAGCGGGTAAAGCTCTTGCCTTGTGGGGATGACTCAGGTTCAATTCCTGGCATGCCATATGGTCCCCTGAGCACTGCCAGGAGTAATTCCCAAGTGAAGAGCCAGGAGTGACCCCTGCACATTATTGGGGTTGGCCTAGAAAAACAAACCCCCAAAAATTCACCACTGATGATTTTAGTTGAACTAAATATTTTATTGGGTTTATATTCTACAGCGGTAAAAAAGTAAATGGAAGTAACTGGTAATATCCCAAGATCCGTTTATTCTTGAATGGGAGAGGAAAACTCAAAGCTTAGTTATTTCTACTGCCCAACTTTTTCATTCCCTTTTCACTTACCATGAAGAAGGCACCACGGTGATAATATTTCTGTAAGAACTTGTATTTGCCCTTGACAGCTTTGTTGGTAATGACTTTACCATTTGCCCGAAGTTCTGCTCTCCTCTCTTCCTCAGTCAGATTTCGCATGCGCTCAATTTCTGCCTTTTCCTTCTCCAGCCTGTCCAAAGAACAAAAGTCGTCTAGTTCGAGTTTCAGAAAGACCAGTGTGGCTTCCTTCAAACACTGTTTTGCCAGAGAGAGAGTGCTCAAAGGACTGAGTATAGTATGCTCTGCATGCAGGAGGCCCAAGATTCAAAAGTTGCCCCCTCATCCCCCAACACAGACACACTACTGGGTATCATCCCAAACAAAAACTCCAGGTGAAATAACTCAAGAGGCCTGGGCATAAACCTGTTGTACTATCCTGCTACGCCCCCCTGAATTGCTGTACATGGCTCCAAACCCAAAATGAAAGTAAAAAGGGGCTGGAGAGATAGTACAGCAGGTCGGGTGTTTATGTTGCCCATGGCCAAACAGAGTTTGATCCTGGTCTTTGAAGCCCTAGTGATCCCTGAGCACAGAGCCAGGAGTTAGCCCTGAGCACTGCCAGGTGTGGCCCCAAAAATCAGAGGCAAAAAAAAAAAAGATGAGATCATTATGTCTTCAAGAGCAGGTATTGAAAACTTTCAGAAGTTAAATTTAGATTATGAAGTTCAGCTATACTGCTTGACTACACAACATAGGTACTTCCTTCCTAAAAAATCTTGGAAGGGCTGGAGAGATAGTACAGTGGCTAAGGTGCTAAAAGCTGGTTTGATCCCTGGCAACTGCATAAGTGCCTGAAGCACAGCTAAGGGTTACTTGTGAGTTGGAATGCCACAGATCCACTGGTTGGAGTTAAAGATCCACTCTCCAGAAAAATACAATGTAAGGAAATTGAAGCAGGAACCCTAAAGGAACCTAGAATGGGACTCACAGCAGGGCCTGTGCCTTAGAACTATCCCTAACCTAGCCCATTAGTGGCATTAACTGTGGGCCCAACTTATTACTCACGCTTCTCGATCTTCTCTGTCTCTCTTGATTCTTTTTAGCTCACGAACTTTCCATGCCTCATACTCCTCCTCATCATTTTCATCATCAGTATTGAGTGCATCCAGTGCAGCTAGGGACCGCTTGTTCTCCTCTAGCTCTTTCTTGGTCTCCTCTTCTACAATCTAGATAGGAAAAATAATTAAACTATTGGACTTCCTTACATTCCTCAGATAAGCTTTTACTGCTATGCTTCTCTTACTCTAAATCCTTACACTAAATCCTCACAGCCAGCCACACCCTTTTACCTTGAGTGTATACTTGCGTCTCTCTTCAGCCATGCGTTTTGCCTCCTGTTCCAGTTCCTTTTGTTTCAATGCTTCAGCTTCACGTTCTTGAACTGTTACTCGGTCCTTCCTGTAGCATAGATGTCATGTTAACTGCTGAGTATCTTAGAATAGGTAGATGTCTTTGTTAAGGTTCTGAACATTCCCCACCTCATATTCCTCTTTATCATAATCATCATCACTCCTGAGTGCATTCAATGCAGCCACAGATGGCTTTTACTCTTTCACCTCTTTCTTGGTCCCTAAATCAAGTCTCATCCAAATCAGGCAAAACCAAAAATAATCTCTGGCTCTATTCATTGCAAAGACCCAAATGAGAGTCAACTCAGATCAACATAGCATCAGAATTTATCTTTGAGATAAAAGCAAGGAACCTGTTAAATTCTAAATAGTGGGATATCCATCAGGAAGGGGATAGGAATCTACTTTCAAGCTTATTTTGTGCATAACATAATTTATAACCTTGGATAAACATATGGTTTATAATGGGAAGGGAGACAGGAAAACTCACTGGGATGTGTTGCCAACACCAAGGTATTCCTCAGTAAATATTCTGCAGAGTTGATTAATGGGCAGATTTCACTTTCTGTGTAAGTTTTGGAAGAGCATGGGATATAAATAGGTGACTTTTATTTTCAGATCTGGAAAATGGTGACCATATGGACTCAGGCATGGTTTGTAAAATACTTACTTTCTAATGAAGACTGGCTTGAGGCGGGGCTCCATCTCATCTTCGCTGTCTGTGTACTCTTCATACTCAGACTCTGATTCTGACTCCTCCCCAGAACGTCCCTCATCTTCCACCTCCATCACTTCCAGCTCTTCATTTTTTCTCTCCTGTGCTCGCTGACGCATCATACCACGGCGCCTCTCGATTTCCTACCAAGTCACACACCCAGTCAGCCAAACGCTGTGTGTCCTATGCTGGCCTTTTATTTATTTACTTTGGGTTTTTTGGGTTACACCCAGCAGTGCTCAGGACTTATTCCTGGCTGTGTGCTAAGGGACCACTCCTGGCTGGGCTATATTGGGATGGCAGGGATTGAACCTGGATTGGCCATATGCAAGGCAAGCACCTTACCCGGTGTGCTATTGCTCCAGCCCTGAAGTTGGCTTTTTAATTTCTCTCATCAAACTCAAGAAATTATGATGAGTAAATGCAATTTAACAATATTCTACTTTCAAATCTACTCCCAACAGGAAACACTGGAAGAGTTCTGTCCAATCTTCTGCTTAGCGCTTAGAAAAGCAGCACAGGCCCTAACTTTTAGCATGTAAAGAAAGAACTTCTTATTTTCCTTTTTTTTTTTTTTTTTTGGCTTTTTGGGTCATACCCGGCGATGCACAGGGGTTACTCCTGGCTCATGCACTCAGGAATCACTCCTGGTGGTGCTCGGGGGACCAGATGGGATGCTGGGAATCAAACCCAGGTTGGCAAGGCAAATGCCCTACCCACTATGCTATGGCTCCAGCCCCTTAGTTTCCTTTTTGTATATACCTCATCATCAATTTCCTCCTCCTCTTCTTCACTGGTATCTTCTCGTTCCACACGCCAAGCATCCCCTTCTACCTCTGAGTCACTTTCTCCAACTACTTCCGGTTCCACTATTTTCCGATGTCGGGCCAATCTGGAAAAAAACAAAACAGTATTTCTAAGTGTAAAACTAGTATTACCAAAACTGAGGGGCATCAACTGCATTTCCATAGTCACTGAGCACCTTGAAATTATGTCTATTTTTATTAATAATGAAGTTTTAGGGCTGAAGCGATAGTAGAACGGGTAAGGAGCTGGCCCTGCATATGGCCAACACAGATTCAATTCTTGGTTTGGCTCCAGAGCTTTCGAGGCATGATCCCAGAGGGCAGATTCAGGATTAAGTCCTGAGTGCTACTGGATGTGGACTAAAACAAAATAATGAATTTTTATAGTATCTTAATGTACAGAGTGAGGTTCATAACAAAGAAATTAACTCAAAGTCAGTATCAGAGCAAACAGATAACATTGGACCTAAAATATTAATTATACCAAGGTTTTTAGATCACTGCAAGAAACTCATGGAAGTGCACTGGAATATACATAATAGTTCAAAGTAATTTACAGTTTAAACACTAGATCACATGTTTTTTGCAATGGCAATCATATACCCGTAAAACCAAGTTTTTGGTAGCTGCAGTGATAAAAGCATTTACTGCATAAAAATTAATGTGGAACAAGACACAGTGGTAACACTGTCAATCTAATTCCAAGGACTGAGAAACTGTATGTAAAAAGAGGCACAGAAATTAGTAGCAATGAACTTTTATGTGAGAATAAAGAGTATTTTCCTTTTATGTGCATTCTATTACACAGAAATAGAACAAAATTATAATTCAAGTATCTGGATCAGATTAACAAAACTATCTGGACAAAACTTTGGGTTCTGCGAAAAAAATTCCTGAGGCAGCAAAGATACAGTACATGAGTTAAGGCTCATGTGTTGCATTAAGCTGACCCCAGTCTGAGTCTTGCCATCACATGATCCCCGAAGCATCTGTAGGTTCAGCCCTAGAGAGGTTCCTAGAGGTCGCTGAGCACCCAAGGTATGGCTCTGGAGGACATACAGCACTGTAGGAACTGAGTAGTATTGCACCCTTGGGCCTCAGCACTGACTTACTCATCTGCTTGGCTGAACATTGCCAGGAATGGCCACCAGGACTCCTGAGTACTACTAGGGAGTCTCCTCCCAAGAAAATATTCAGCAGACAATATAAAAGTTGGAAACTTTGGGATTTATGATTTACTCTGTAAAGGGTGCCACCCCTTTCCCCCCTTTTTGGGGCACACTTGGCGATGCTGAGAGCTTCTGGCTGTGTGCTCAGGGATCACACTTGATGGGCTCAGGGGACCAAGCGAGTGCAAGGAGATTGAACCCAGGTTCTACCACGTGCAAGGCAAATATCCTACCAGCTCTTCTATCTTTCTGGCCCCATGTAAGGTAAGGCTTTAATCAACACAACAATATTTAAAATCCCTTGTGGGGAGACTCCCTTTTCTCTGTGAGACCATTAGGCTTCATTCCTGCTTTATCAGTGTATTTTCTCCAATAGTCTCTAGAAGCTACGAATGGGTGAATCAGCTTAAGTTTTATGAAACATCTTTGTGTTTCCCATCAACAAATCAACCCATGAGCTGCATTTTCTTTTTCCTTAATGAGTTAATCAGGGCCTTCCTTTGGGTTACCTGCTGTTTACGGTTGCCACTTACCTCTCTAACGTTGGTTGTTCTTCCCTAGAGACTTTGTGCGTGAGTGTTCTTATTTGGAAAATGGGGAAAGTAATACCTACTACATAAGTTTACTGTACGAGTCATGAGAATTAGTAAAGGTACTTAGAACAATGTTTAGCATATAGCAAGATTCAGGTATAATTTCTTATTACTGTTGTTCTTATTAACCTGTAAGGGTTCTGGGAAGCACAAATCTTAGCTTACCTTTCTTCCACATCTTCACTAATGCGGTTCTGCAAACGACGCAGCCGAGGGTCACTGGATGAATCTTCCTCCTGTTCCTCAGGCTCTGCTTCTTGTTCTTTGGCTTTCTTAATGAACTGAAATTCTTCATCCTCCTCATCGGAGGATTCCATAGGGGCATAGTCCGGCCTCTTTCCTGACACATAACGTTTCACCTTCACTTTCTCCATCGAAATCTCACCTGGGTAAGAAAGATAATATTATGCTTCAGTAGCTTCCTTCTCAATGTCCTTCAGCTCTTGGCATGTGCAGGTAGAGCCTTGTACTCATAGTTAAAAACAAAAGAGGGGCCAGAGCAATGGTGAACAATGGGAGGGTGGAGGGCATTTGCCTTGTCGTTGCTGACCTGGGTTCTATGCCAGCACCCCATAAGGTCCTCCAACCCTGCCGGAAGTGATCCTTCATTGCAGAGCCAGAACTAAGCCCTGAATCAGTGTGGCCCAAAACCAAACAACGGAAGGAAGAGTGAAGCAATGGAAAAACACAAATTCAAACAGATACGTTCACTTTTATGTTCACTACACCATTACTTTTCATAGTTAAAAAAAAAGGAAATAAGTGTACACTGATGAAGTGGGTGGATAAATAAGTGGTCTATATATACATTGGAATACTACTCCATTATAAAAAATTTAGGTAACAACCAACTATTACCTCACCAGCTGAGAAAGGGAATCAACTGTACAATAAAACATGGAAAACAGACTTAGTGGCAATCATAATTCAACATATGCAAATTCAAATTATAATGCTGCATTTTTTAAATCTATGCAATGTTTAAAACCAAGTTGCCTCAATAAAAATGGGGGGACAGGGTCAGAGAGACAGGAGAAGGCAGGCCACCCCAGTTCAATCCATGGTACCTCATATAGACCCCTAGCACTGCAAGGAGTGATTCCTGAGCATAGTCAGGAATAAGCCCTGGGCACCAATGTGTGGCTCCAAAATTAAAAAGCAAAACAGTTAAAACAAACAAACAAAAAGAACCATAATAAAAACGCAAACCTAAAGTAAAAATATCATTTACAGGGGCCAAACAGATATTTCATAGTTGAATGCATGCTTTGCATGCTGAAGGCCTGGGTCTGATCCCTGGCACTACGGGTCTCCTGGGCTGAGCATGGGGAGCAATCCCTAAGCAGTGTTTGAAGTGGCCTTAGAACAAGCACAAGCATAGCTGTATGTGGCCTAAAAACAAGTACAAAATCATTAACAGGGGCCAGGGACATAACAGATCAACAGTGGAGTACATACATTGCATATGTGACATCCTGGGTTTGATGCCACTCGGGGCTTTGTGCTCACGGTGGGCCTAATACAAGGCAAGCACTTAACCCCTATCTATCTGGCATTGCATGTATTGAGGTTGGGTATATATGGAAAACTGCTCTACCTTTGAATTTTGTTGTGAACTAATCTGCTCTTTTAAAAAAAAGTTGTATGGGACATAGAGATAGTACACCAGACGCTTACCTTTCCTATAGCTGATATGGATTCAATCCCCCAGCCCCACCAGGAATGATCCCTGAGCACAGAGCCAGGAATAGGCCATGAGCACCACTGATGTTGTCCAAAAAACCAAATACCATCTCCCCATAAAAACCAAAACAAAAGATTTATTTAAATGAACAGTAATTAAAAGAACGATCTCACTGACTTCTACCACAAAACATGGAAACAAACCCAAGAACTTGATATTGTAGAAGTGATATTAAAAATCAGAGGACACAATGCCCAAAAGGGTGGGAGGGAGGGGGGGAGGGAGAAGAAAAGAGGCATAGAGGCAGGCAGGGGGTGGGGGGTAATGGGAGGGAGCCTGGGGACACTGGTGTGCTGGGAAATGTACACTGGTGGAGGGATGGGTGTTGGAACACTGTATGACTGAAATCTAAAAATCGAATCATGAACCAGCTTTGTAAGGGCCTATCTCACAGTGATTCAATAGAAAAGTTTAAAAATCAGTGGAAGGGACTGGAGTGGTAGTACAGCAGATAGAGTGCTTGCCTAGAACCCTGAATAGCTCCCCAAGCACCACTAGGAGTGATCGCTGAGCAACAGAACTAGGAGTAAGCCCTGAACACTGCCAGGTGTAGCCCAAAAACAAAACAGGAAAAAAAAATCAGTGGGTTAGTCATATAAGAGTACTAGGGATAACTAGCTAGCCATAAGGTACAGTGAAAAATCTGATCTTTGCGGACTGGAGAGATAATACAGTGGGTAAGGTGCTTGCCTTGCATACTGCTGACCTGGCTTTGAACCCTGACATCCCATATTGTTCCCAGAGCACTGCCAGGAGTAATTCCTGAGTGCAGAGCCAGGAGTAAGTCCTGAGCAACCTCAGGTCTGAGGCCTTGAACCCCAACACAAAAACCAAAAATCCGATCTCTGATACCAGACAGACAAAAACCTCTAGGCCTGGGAATGTGGAGATGGCTCCAAGGACTAGAGTGCATGCTTTGCATTTGGGAGCCCGGAGTTTGAACCCTGAACCACATGTCCTTTAGAACACTTCTTGAAGGTCCCCAGCAGAGCAGGATCTGTGGACGGATCTTCATCCTCAAAGCCCAGCATTGACTCACTGGCCTGGATGACCAAGCGTCACTGTGCACCTGGGCCACAGTACTCAGTCCCATACCTCCCCCAACCCAAGATAAATTTATGTATGAAGAGGAAATAAACATGAACAAGATGTTTCAGCTTACTAGTAATGAGAGAAAAGCAAATTAGAATGAGATACTGTTTCATACACATTTGTCTGGTTAAACACATTTAGGTTTTCAAGAGTGTTCCTAGCTCTGTGCTCAGGTGACCATGTGGTGCTGGTTGAATGTAAGGTAAGCGCCTTAACCCCTATCAGCTGACCTGGAGAAGTAACTCTCAAAACTCTTACAAAGGACCGTGGAGAACAATTGGTAACAGGCAGTTAAGTCGATGAAATTCTAATCATCTGCTCTAAAGAAATTATACAAATAAACTGAGCAGAAATTTTTTGATCTGTTTAATATTAATTTATTTGATCTAATTTTGATTAATCTGTCTTTTTTTTTAAATTCTCATCAGTGAAACACCATGAGGTACAGTTGTAGACTTACAAATTTTTGTGCTTGAGTTTCAGTTATACAATGATTGAGTACCCATCCCTCCACCGGTGCCCACCACTAATCCCAGTATCCCTCCCATCCTCCCACCCCCCCACCCCGCCTCTGTGGCAGGGCATTCCCTTTTGTTCTCTCTCTCCTTTTGGGTGCTGTGGTTTGCAAAAGAGGAATTGAGTGCAATCATGTTCGGTCTGTAGTCTACTTTCACCATGCATCTCCCATCCTGGGCAGATCTTCCCAACACCCTTTACTTGGTGATGAGCAGAAATTTTTAAAGATGACAACTGAAACACTTTGTTACAGGAGAAAAAAAATGCAACAAAAGTCCTTCAATAGGGAAAAAACCTGCAGTTTAATTACACAGTGGAATTTGGAAGCAGTTAAAATGAATCAGAACTACCTATAAATAGTGAACAATTTTCAAAAGCCTTAATTTTTTTTATAAGGCGGCACAAGGAAAGTTATAGAATTAAAACAAATCCGATTATTTTCTAAAATCCTTACTAAAAAATTGACTTTTTGGGGTCTAACTCCTTAAATAAGTATGGTGTTCCTTCTTCCACATGCAATATCAAAAATCCTAAACTTTCTCTGCCCTCAGATATAGCACTTGTTTCATATACCTAAAGGAAGTATGATAGAAAAGATCTCACACTGCTTAAAATATGCCTCTTTATAAACATCTCATGTCTATTAAAAGTTTTTTCTTTTTTCTTGTTTTGGCTTTCAGCAACCAACGATGCTCTGGGGTTACTCCTGGCTCTGCAGTCAGGAATTAATCCTTCCGGTGCTCGAAGGACCACATGGGATGCAGAGGATCAAAGCTTGGTTGGCCACATGCAAGGCATAAGCCCGACCGTTGTACTGTTGCTCAGGCCCATGAAATACGAGTTTCTTAAGGTTAAGGGCCTGTCTTGTACAATTCTGAATTCAATTCAATAAATACAGCGACTGCATTGATTGAAAGGGCTAGAAAGCTTCTTAGTTAAGACATGGGGTGAAGTGGGGTGGAAAGAAGCCACCAGGGTGCAATCCCCGGTACCCCAGATGGTCCCTGAGCTCACCAGAAGTAATTCCCGAGCACAGACCCAGGAGTAACCCCTGAGCATCGCTAGGTGTGGTCCCAAACCTGACAAAAACCAAAAAGCAAGAAAGACATGGATCTGGTCTCAAGTTGCTCAGGAGCTCAAGATCTACAAGACCGAAATAAACACATAAGTATCTGTGGCGATGAGTTTAAAAAGAGGGAGAGGAGCCAGAGCCATAGTACAGCGGCGGAGAAAGGGCGCATGCTGGCATGAAGCAGACCTGGGTTCGGTACCCGACACCCCCTGAAGTCCGCTGAGCGAGTCAAGAGTGATTCCTGAGTGCAGAGCCAGCTGTAACCTCTGAGCATCACTGGGTGAGATACAAACCCCCCCACCAAAAAAAAAAAAAGATTAAGAAAAAGGGCAGCACCAAGGGTAAACAAAGTAAAATTGGCCCCGTCCCTGGCCTATAATACATAAGGGCTGAGGAAAGAGGAGAGCTAGGTGCCGGCAGCCGTGCTACAGTAACGAGATAAAACTTGTCTCTTAGGCAAGCTACTGGGTGCGACTCTGCCAGGAAAAGTCTAAAAAGTAAGAAACAGGTCTTAAGGTCGGCGGGGCTGGGGAGACCCCCTCGGGAGAGGTTTGAGACAGGACGTGGAAGCAAGAGCGGGAAGCGCCAAGGGCTCAGTTCAGTACCTTTTTCATTGCGAACTGGGACGGCCCCAGCCGTTGACTGAATGGGCGGCTGTTTCATGAGTGCACTTGGGACCGACATTTTGATGGCTTGCGCTGGTGACTCCCCAAATGTGACCGATTCCGAACGGCGAGCAGCGACCACGTCAAGGATCCAGAGAAATCTCCACTTGCGCGCCTCTGAGCTCCGGATAGCAACACCACCTACGGCCGGGAGAGAAACCGGAAGTAGCGAGCCGAGGATTGTGGGATCGTGGAGGGCGCCGGCTGGACCCGGGAGTCTGCGCACGGCAGCCTGCGGTCTCGGAGTATTTGGAATCCGCTTTCGGAGGGTAATCTAGGTTTTGCCGGTAAAGTTTAGCTTGATTAGTTTGGTTTGAAGTCGAGGATAATGGCTTCGTGGAAAAAGAAAAGATTAGAAAAGGGCTGTTTGTTCACTTTTGGCGCTTAAAATTAAAAAAAAAATTTTTTTTTTGGTTCTTTGGTCCATACCCGCCGATGCTCAGGGCTTACTCCTGGCTCTGCACTCAGGAACTTCTGGCCGTGCCCGGGGGACCATATGGGATGTCGAGGATCGAACCCGGGTCAGCCGAGTGCAAATGCACCACGCAGAATTAGATTTTAATCAGATTAGAATCCCTGATTAGATTAGAATCCCTGGCTCCTGATGAACTCGGTGAACTAGATTGAGTGGGTGGCGATGGGATCTTTTGGTGATGCTCCGTTGGCTTCACGACTACTATCCATTGTAATCCTCACTTTTAAACTTTTGAGTTATCTCCCTTTTATGGAGACATCCTATTATAATATAAACTGCTGTATGTTGGTATTTAAATCTGTAAGATTTACAGAGTGCCCTTATGTTTCTCTGTAAGGAGTTTGGAGTATTGTTTAAAGGTTCATATCTTCTATAAGTTGAAATTTTATCAAGAAGAAGTCTTCTAGGACATATAAAATGATAACAAGTAACTAATTTAGTAGGTAGGCAGTGTTAAAAAACATTGACAATTGGCAATTTAGAATTCAGAACATTATTCACTATGGGAAGAATTTTGTAACTTCTGTGACGGGGGTCAACAGACATTCAGTAATCAGACCCTCTGTTAAGTATTTTACTTTTTGTTTTTGGGTTCCAACCCTGAGGTGCCGGTCATCAGACTGGTGAGTGGTGTTCAGGGGTTTTAATTAAATTTTTTTTTTTTTTTTTTTTTGCTTTTTAGGTCACACCCAGCGATGCACTCAGGAGTTACTCCTGGCCATGCTTGGGGGACCATATGGGATGCTGGGAATTGAACCCGGTAGTGCCGCGTGCAAGGCAAATGCCCTACCCGCTGTGCTTATCACTCTAGCCCCGTGTTCAGGGGTTTTAACAGTAAATTCTGAATCGAAGATTGGTGTAAATTTGTCAGGGACCATATCATGGAGTGTCTTGGATCTGCTAATAGGATTACGTCTCAAGTTATTTCATCTGTGTTCTAGAATTGGCTCCAGGCTAGAAGAAATAATGTGTTTCTTGCGAGAGACCCCAAGGAAAGAACCATTAAATTCACCAGAATCTAGGATCAAAAAATATATATTTTGTCCCACTGCTTACCTTACATATTTGGAGTATACCTCTAAGTTGACCCACTAAAGAGAGGGCAAAACCCCTTCTCGGCTCTCTCTCCCTCACCTCCCTCACCTCCCGGGCTCCACCCCTCCGTCGCCCATTTTCAGCTGCCCGCCTCCAGGCCCACTCTTCTAAGGACACTAGCCTCGTTCGGTTCCGCCCACCCGTCGTTTCCAGCCCCACCCACACGCCTGCTACTGGCTCAGTCCCTAAGGGCCCGCCCACTCGCCTGCTACTGGCGCGGTCTCTAAGAGCCCCGCCCACCCGCTTGCTACTGGCGCGGTCTCTAAGAGCCCCGCCCACCCGCTTGCTACTGGCGCGGTCTCTAAGAGCCCCTCCTACTCGCACGCTACTGGTCCAGTCTCTAAGGGCCCCGCCCACCCGCTTGCTACGGGCGCGGTCTCTAAGAGCCCCTCCTACTCGCATGCTACTGGTCCAGTCTCTAAGGGCCCCGCCCACCCGCTTGCTACTGGCGCGGTCTCTAAGAGCCCCTCCTACTCGCACGCTACTGGTCCAGTCTCTAAGGGCCCCGCCCACCCGCTTGCTACTGGCGCGGTCTCTAAGAGCCCCTCCTACTCGCATGCTACTGGTCCAGTCTCTAAGGGCCCCGCCCACCCGCTTGCTACTGGCTGGGTCTTTAAACGCCTTGCCCGGGAGTACTCAGCGCATTAGTTTTCCGTTCTCCCACCAAATTTTGGTGCTAAGCCCCAGCCGCTTAAGCCGCGCAAGTATGTCTGAGTCTGTTGCGGCGTCTGAAAAGGCCGACTCCAGTAAACGACTCCAAGTGGAGGTGAGAAATTTTGTCACTTCCACGTGTGCTCTTTCATCAGTGTTTGTGAGGCCCCTGTCACATCAGGCCCTAGGGGGTCCGTGGACCCAGAGTCCCGGTTCTGGAGTTGATCACCACCGCCTTTCAAAGCCGATTTCCCGTCGCTTACGGCGTCAAATAATTTAATAGACTTTCTGGATGTTAACAAACTTCAACGAGGTCCTTGATTTTACTTTATGGAAATGGGGCCTTCAGCATTTAGAGAGATTATTGCCAGTAACCCTAAAAATAGTGGCAGGATGGACTTGGGACTCATTTGCTTTTGCAATAATTAATGTCAGCTGGCAGTACTTTAAGCAATTCCAATGACTTTGAAGTTAAACAGTCGAGGTAGTTTCATCAGTTACACATGTTGATCAGTATTGGTATTAGCTGGTAAGCTCAAAATGCAGGTTCAGCATGGGAAACAATTCTATGATGGGTGGATGGGAGTTTCAGACTATCAATTTGAATTTATTTTGTCAAATTAGACGTATTTATACAGATATGTCTGTAAAATACATAGGGCCTGGGATTCTAATACTGTTTTCCTTTATTGACTTGAATAGGTGAATGAATATAAAGAAAACCAAGACATTACTTTTTTATCTTTGAGACCAGAACAGATTGCAGTTTTAGGAAAAGTAACTAAGGTGTGTCTTTTGCCCTTTTCACTCAGTAATTACAACCCAGGCCAATTTAAGTGCTCCAAATCCCTTCTAAACAAAAGTCCTAATAAAGTGGCATGTAAGAATCTGTTTAAGAAGACTAAAATTAAGAGAATTTGCCGAAATATTTTAACTTCAGAGATGGAAGCTACAATTTCCAAAGCAGAATTCACTGTGCAAAAATCATCCTTAGATGTTCCTGCTGAAAGTTACAAGGTACCTTTAGATATAGTGATTCTCAGTGTTGATAAGGAAAACAGTCAGGATGGAGACAGTGATGAAAACATCACATCAGGCCTGGTAAGAATGTAATTACTACCTGTTCAAATTTTTCTTATTTTGAAATTATGATTAGTTAAGGTTACCAAGAGACTTTCTGTAAAAAAATATCTTACACGCATGGGGAAGGGATGGGGAAGGGATGTGTAAGATGATGATGTGATGTGTTGGTGGGCTCTCAGGGCAGCTTTCTCTTGCCGCCAGCATTCGGTGCTCTGAGCCACTGTGTATGGACCGGATGGGATGGCTCCTGCTTTGTGCTCTGCTTCTGTGTGTGCCACTGTGCTCTCTTCTGTCTCTCTATTTCTGACTCTGTCTCTGTAGTCTCTCCTCTGGTCTCCTCCAAGAGGAGAGACTTCTCTGGAGCCCTTCACTCTGTATTCTGACTCTGCCCCACTCTGCTCTTACAGTCTTAGTTTATATAGCAATCACATAGGGTGGTGACACAAAGGTGTGTTGAACATTAACACATCAACAAAGAGGTAAAACCACTCCTCCAGCAGATTAACTCAAGGATAAAATCTTATCTAAAGAGATTACTAGGAGATCCGCTTAAGGGCAGGATCCCATCCAGGGTGTGTTGCTTTCTTCTTCTTAGATCCTCAGCTAGTAATCCACTTAAATAGTTGTAGTAAATCTACTTCTAATATTTCTAGCAATGTCATTCTGTATGAACATGGTAAAAGATATATCAACTTAAAGTTTGGTTCCTCCTGAGGACGTCATACCACAGGTTAGGTTAGTCTTCCTAACCCCAGCAGGGTCCTAGTCTCGTCGTTTCTTTTGAATCATGACAGCATTTGTCTATGATCATGCTCTCAATTTATAGTTGAATATTGTGACACTTTGGCCTGGTCCATTTTGATGCCAGCGTAGCTCACAGCTTGCCATTCAGTCCCTTGTCGGAACCCTGCTTTTGGGTTGCTAGGAACTGAGGGCAACTGAGTTGAGAGAGCAGATGCCCAGGAGTAAAATATTCTTGGAGTCAATCAACTCCCAGTTTACAAAGCATATTTTTAACTGTCTTTCTGTGTCCATACAGAAAGGACATTGCTTTAAGGTAAACTAAGTTCCCTTCGGCAAGGCTGAAAGGACAAACCCATTGTTATCCTACAACTTTCCACCTCAAATACTTTATCATCTAATTTATGTTACTTGAAATTTTATTTAATTTTTTATTTTTTGGCTACACCTAGTGGTATTCAAGGCTTGCTCTTGGCTCTGTTGTTCAGGTCACTTCTGGAGGTGCTAGGTGGACCATATGTAGTGACCAAGGTGAGCCTGCCCACACGGCAGAGTCTGGCAAACTCCCCATGGTGTACCCAATATGCCAAATACCAGTAACAATGATGGGTCTCATTCTCCTAAAGAGCCTTGAATATAATCTCAGGGCTAGAATGAAGGAGATGTTACTGGGGCCTGCTGCTCGAGGCAAGGTGAGCTGTGTGCAAGACAAGTGCCTTAACTCCTATAATATCTCACTGCCCTTGAAATTTGATCTATTATTATTAGTAGTAGTTTTGGGGCCATACCTGGCTGTGCTCAGGGCTTACTTCTGTCTCCTCACTGAGGAGTTGGGTTGGGGGACCATATGTGATGCTTGGGTTTGAACCTGGGTTAGGTATGTGCAAGGCAAGCACCATTATTGCTGTACTATCTCACCTGCCCAAAATGTTAGTTTTTAAATGTTAACAGATAACTTTTTTTCGAATAGTTTTGCTTATTATTTTTAAAAAATTTTATTATTTATTTTTTGCTTTTTTGGGCCACACCCAGCGATGCACAGGTGTTATTCCTGGCTCTGCACTCAGGAATTACCCCTGGCAGTGCTCAGGGCTCATGGGATGGTGGGAATCGAACCCGGGTTGATTGTGCAAGGCAAATGCCCTACCCGCTGTATTATTGCTCCAACCCATTTTGCTCATTATTTTGATTTGTCAAAGAGAGAATTGACTTAGTCTTCCCTTTACTTTCTCTCTCTTTTTAAACTGTTTTATTTTTTTTTTAAAGAAATGTATTTATTTTTGCCTTTTGGGTCACACCTGGTGATACACAGGTGTTACTCCTGGCTCTGCACTCAGGAATTACTCCTGGTGGTGCTCAGGGGACCATATGGGATGCTGGGAATCGAACCCGGATTGGCTGGGTACAAGGCAAATGCCCTACCCGCTGTGCTATCACTCTAGCCCCAACTGTTTTTTACTTTTAATATATCTGTTTACTCACTGTATCACTGTATCACTGTTATCCCGTTGTTCATTGATTTGCTTGAGAAGGCGCCAGTAACATCTCCATTCGTCCCAGCCCTGAGATTTTAGCAGCCTCTCCCCTTACTTGTCCTTCCCAATGGTGCTGTATTGGAGGCTCTTTCAGGGTCAGGGGTATGAGATCTGTTATTGTTACTGTTTTTGGCATATCGACTACACCTCGGGTAGCTTGCCAGGACTTGCTGTGTGGGTAGGATACTCTCAGTAGCTTGCCAGGCTCTCGAAGAGGGATGGAGAATGTATATAAGAGAATACAAGCAAGTATGTTAAAACCAAACACATGTGTGCTGCTTTAGGTACATCAGTGGGCTAGACTATTAGAGGTCTTTGTTTTATAGTCTCTGGATCTTGGCTGTTGATAGGATTGCATGGCGCCAGGGGCATTTTTTGGTTGTGACTACCAAGCTACTGGATCTGGGTGGAGGAGGCCCAGTTCCGAACCAAGCAGACTTGGAGATCTCAACCCTGGGTCCCACATACCTGGGTTCCTCTGCCGGTTCCTTCATGCATGAGGCTTGTCTTGAGCATGGCCGTGACCTGTTTACTCAGGGTTTATAATATCTTGCTCACCCTATATGTTTATACATGCCTGGTATACCAGAAGTTTTGTCAGCTTGTGAGACATAAGACATTTCAGTGACTCTTGATTCCTGGGTAGGAAAATCGTCACTAATTGATGTGTGCTGAGTAATATACAAAAAAGTACTTACATTAAAAAAAGGGAGATAAATAATAGTAGAAAAGATACATAAAAACAGTTCTACTTAAAGTCATAGTATAGGGGCCAGAAAGATAGTACAGACAGAGGGTGCTTGCCTTGTATGCAGCTTATCTGGATTTTATCCCTAACTCCCACACATTCCCTGAACCTTGCTAGGAGTGAGTCTTGAGCACTCTCTAGTGCCGGCTCCAACCTCCTGCTTTGCACCCTCCCCCGACAACCTCCCCTCACCTCTAATACCATAGTACAAATCAGTTAAGGAAGTTAGTTGTCACATTTTTTGGGGGGGTTGTCACCTCTCTAGAGTGCTTTACTTCATTTAAAGTTTCAGTTTTATGCAAGACAAGATAAATCATGGGGCTGAAGTGATAGTACAGCATGTTGGGTGTTTGCCTTGCATGTGATTGACCTTGGCACTCCATATGGTGCCCTGAGCACTACAAGGAATGATCCCTGAATGCAGAGCCATAAATAAACCTTGATGGTTGTGGCAACAAAACAACACAAAATGAAAAATCATGAGAAAAAGTTGATGGAAATAGGGGAACAGAAAATAATGGTAGAGAAATTGGAGAATGGATAATTGAAGTGTTGCTATGAAACAAGATATATATATATATATATATCACTTGATCACTTGACATCCCGTTACTCATCGATTTGCTCAAGTGGGCGCCAGTAACGTCTCCATTCGCCCCTATTGCCTGCTAGTGTAGCCCAATGGCATCTGCTCGTTCTAGGAACACGAAGAGCCTCAAACCAATCATTCAGGGTCTTGACAAAGAGGTCTGACCATCTTGTAGGTGGGCGGCCATGCGATCTTTTGATGTCCTGTGGAATCCATATATATATATGAATAATCCAGTAAAATGTATATATATATCCAGTATATGTATATATATACACACACATATACATATATATGAATTAGGAACTATGGTAGGACAATATGGAGTTAAGTCTTAAGTGCATTAGACAGGGATTTGGAAATCTAATGATTTGGGGTTGGAACTATAGTACAGCAGGTCAGGTGTTTGCCTTGCATTTGGCCTACCAGGTTTGATTCCTGACATCCCATATGGTTCCCTGAGCACTGCCAGTAGTAATTCCTTAGTGCATAGCTAGGAGTAACCCCTAGTAGCCACTGGGTGTGGCTCCTCCCAAAATTTTAAAAAGAAAGAAAGAAAAAAATATTTAGACTCTAGGGGCAAGATCCTTTCTAAGAAATTTTTTTTTTGGCTTTTTGGGTCAAACCTGGCTATGCACAGGGGTTACTTCTGGTTTTGCACTCAGGAATCATCTTGGCGGTGACCACATGGGATGCTGGGAATCAAACCCGGGTCGGCCGCATGCAAGGCAAACGCCCTACCCGCTGTGACATCACTCCAGCCCCCCTTTCTAAGAAATTTAAGTCAGTCTCCTCTAAGTGAGGAATTGGATAAGATCACGGGTTTTTGGGGTTTTTGGCATGGGGAGGGCGGGGTGACATACTTATGTCTTATTGCTGGCTCTGCATTCAAGGATCACTCCTGGAGGGGCTCAGGGGACTATATGGGGATTGAACTTGGGTCGGCTTTGTGCAAGCAAGTGCCCGACCTGTTGTACTCAATCTCTGCCTCCCAGAACTGTTTTTTGAGATTACTGGATTATATTATCTTTGGCCTTATTTTTTTTGAAAATTTATTTTATTTTATTTTATAAATTTATTGAATTGTGAGAGCAGTTACAAAGCTTTCAGGTTTAAGTCTCGGTCATGCACTGATCAAACACCCATCCCTTCACCAGTGCACATTTTCCACCACCAAAACCCCCAGTTTACCCCCATCCCACACCCTCCCCCTACCTGTGTGGCAGATGGTTTACACATTGCTCTCTCTCTACTTTGATTACATTCAATATTTTGACACCAGACCCACCACTATTATTTGGGATTTTACCCCAACACTCACATCTGCCGAAAAGACAACTGTAGCACTGTAGCACTGTCCTCCCTTTGTTTATCGATTTGCTCGAGTGGGCACCAGTAACATTTCACAACAAATTGTGAGACTTGTTGTTACTGTTTTTGGCATATTGAATATGTCACGGGTAGCTTGCCAGGCTTTGCCGTGCAGGCGAAGTACTCTCAGTAGCTTGCCGGGCTGTCTGAGAGGGGTGAAGGAATCGAACTCAGGTCGGCCATGTTGGCTGTGTGCAAGGCAAACGCCCTACCCACTGTGCTATCGCTCCAGCTTGAAAAGACATTAGACAATTTGTTTTCTACTGCTGATAATGAATAACATATGAGATCCGCAGCCACGCGATTTTGGAATTCTGAAATCTTAATAATTAAATCTGGAGGGATTTCTGCCAAAAGATGCTGGGTTCCGAGATTTGTTTCTGAGTCTCTGGAATCATGGCTGAAGCAGCTTGTTAAGTAGTCAGAGGGCTATCTTTGGCCTCTTACACTGTCAGAATCAGCTAAACAACTATCTCATGAGATGTCAAGTGCCAAGTCAAAGAATTGTTTCAGTTTTCTGGCTGGAGTGCTTCAAATTTCACAATACTGACAGCCCCAGGAGCACAACAAATTATATGGGAAAGTAGCTTAGAAACCAGCCAAGCTCAATAAGCACAAACAGTAACACAGAAGGCTCAACTAGCAACAAACAGTTCAGTAAATCCTCAGGCAGTGACTTTAATAATACTACTGTGTGATATAACAGTTTTCACAAACTTTCTCTTACTGAACTATTTTTGATATTTCCATTTACCATTTTGTTTGTAACAAGCAATATAAAAATATTTCGTGCCTGCTTAGGGGACAGACTTGGGTGGGTGGGTGGGTGGGAAACTGGGGACAATGGTGGAAGGAAGGCCAAACTGGTGTTGATTGGTGATGGTGAATGCCTGAAACAACTGTATTGTTGAAATAAAGTTCTAAGAAAAAATCAAATATAAAGCCCTTTTGTATCAATATAAAGCCTAAATCAAATATAAAACTACATCAAATCAAATATAAAGATTTTTATGTTTGGGCTGCACTCAGCGGTGCTCAGGGATCATAAGTGGTCTCAGGGATCACTCCTAGTGTGCTCAGGTTGTGATGGTTGACTCCCGGTAGGCTCCACTCCTATATTATCTCTATTATAGATTTGTGGTTTTTTTTTTTTTTCTTTTTGGGTAACACCTGGTGATGCACAGGGTTTACTCCTGGCTCTTTACTCAGGAATTACCCCTGGCGGTGCTCAGGGGACCATATGGGATGCTGGGAATTAAACATGGGTCAGCCACGTGCAAGGCAAACGCCCTACTCACTGTGCTATTGCTCCAGCCCCATAGATTTATATTTGGAAGTTGCTCCTACCAATGCTCAGGAGACCATGTGGTAGAGGACTAGACCTGGATCTCTAGGATGCAGTTATCTGATCTAGGAGATGCAGTTTTGCAATTTGAATTAAGGTGTGCATTGCATATACATATATAGACCTAAGATTTATGAGTTTACTTTTACTAAAAGTAACAATCTTTTTATTATTTCATAGGATGATTTTTCAGGATTATCATCATATGAAAAGAAGAGACTAAAGAACATATCAGAAAATGCAAAGTTTTTTGCTTCTCTTCAGTTGTCTGAGGTTTCTCTGTCTGGAGTTTCTAGTTAAAACCAGCATCTCCTTTTCTTGCCAGTAGGTTCATAATATACTCATGGTTTCATAGTTCAAACAAGGAGGGTAAAAATAAGGTTTTTCTTTTTTTTGGTTTATTTGGATTTTGAATAAAGAAGATCAGTCGATGAACTCCACATCGGAACCCATGGCCTGGAATGGAACGAACAGGGTGACAGACTGTCTGAGTTCATCATGTCAACCAAAACCTTCCATGGTAACTCACAATTCCAAAAGGCTGAATCTAAACGTTGGACATGGGAGTCTCCCGATGGACGGTTCCACAATGAAATAGACCACATCATATTCAATCGGCGATTTTGCCTAACCGATGTTGCTGTTGTCCCAAAATTCCAAACGGGATCAGACCACCGTCTTCTTCGTGCAAAATTCTACCTCACAGAACGAGGAGAAAAGAATGCAAGGTTTAAGAAGAGGACTCTCAGAACAACCACCAACTGGGAGCTCTTTGGCTCTATTGTGGCAACATGGGAAGATGCCGTCATTGACAACATTGATGAGGAATACGCTCGAATGATTCAGCACCTCCATGATTGTGCAAGGAATGCCAAGAGAGAGATAACCACAAAAAACCGTCTTTCTTCGAACACTCTTGAACTTATTCGCCAACGTGGCTTGGCACATGCCTCAGGCAACCACAAGCGAACATCCAAACTGGCAAAACAGTGCAGAGAAGCCATCAAGGATGACCTCAAAAACAGGAGAGCAGCAGTACTGGTAGATGCAGCAGAAGCTGGGAAAAACATTCGTAATGCCCGCCTGTCCTTCAACTACAAAACCAAGATGACTGCCCTCCGACATCATGATGGATCTATCACATCTTCCAGAAGGGCAATGGAGAAGATTATTCATGACTTCTACTCAGATCTCTTTAATAGCCACATCCACTTGCCCACATACCACATACCACATGATGGATATGTCGTTCCCAATGTTCTCCCTTCCGAAATCCAACATGCCATCTCGTCGGTAAAGAAACAAAGAGCACCTGGCCCAGACAAGATCAGACCTGAACACCTGAAGAACTTACCATCAGTACTCATCAATACATTGGCTCGACTCTTCACACGCTACCTGTCTGAATGCAAGGTTCCATCCCAATGGAAAACCAGCAAGACTGTACTACTATACAAGAAAGGAGACATCCACGACATTGGCAACTATCGCCCAATCTGCCTATTGTCTGTCATCTACAAACTATTCACTCGAGTCATCCTGAATAGGATTAGCAGAACACTAGATGAAGGACAACCATGTGAACAAGCTGGATTCCGAAAAGGATTCAGTACCATCGACCATATCCACACAATAACCAAGCTCATTGAGGTATCTTGGGAGTTCAAGATGCCACTCTGTCTAACGTTCATTGATTTAAAGAAGGCCTTTGATTCTGTTGAGACGGAAACGGTCATGGAAGCCCTAGCCAATCAGGGCGTACAAACTCAATACGTCAGGATCCTTCGTGAGCTCTATTGCGGATTCACTACCAAAATCTCACCATTCTACAAAGAAGTAATCATCCATATCAAGAGAGGGGTTCGGCAGGGTGATACCATTTCACCAAAACTCTTCAGTGCCACCCTCGAGAACATCATGCGATGACTGGAATGGGAAAACATGGGAGTGAAGATAGATGGTCGGCAACTACACCACCTCTGCTTTGCTGATGACATCGTTCTAATAACACCAAACATCAGCCAAGCGGCACAAATGCTGAACGACTTTGACCGTGAATGTGGAAAGGTCAGACTACAACTGAATATTACAAAGACAATGTTTATGAGAAACAGCCTTGTTCCTGACGCTCCATTCGCTCTCAACGGAACCACCATCTCCAAATGCAACAGTTATATATACCTAGGTCGAGAAATCAACATGATGAATGACCTGGCACCTGAGTTGCGCAGAAGGAAGAGAGCGGCTTGGAATGCCTTCAAGAGCATTGAAGAAATAACTAAAAGGACAAAGAACCTCCAGCTACGAGCACATCTCTTTGATTCCACTATTCTTCCTGCATTAACATATGCCTCAGAGACCTGGACCCTACGAAAACAGGATGAGAACGCTATTCGGGTCTCTCAAAGAGGAATCGAAAGAACTATGCTTGGAATATCACGATTCACTCAAATGAGAGATAGAATCCGGAGTTCTGATCTTCGTCAACGCTCAAGAATCAGGGACGCTGTCTCAATTGCCAAGACATCAAAAATCAGATGGGCTGGACACGTAATGAGGTTTACAGACAACCGCTGGACTAGAGCCATTACTGATTGGATTCCACGGGACATCAAAAGATCACGTGGACGCCCATCTATAAGATGGTCAGACTTCTTCGTCAAGACCCTAAATGATCGGTTTGAGGCTCTGCATGTTCCTAGAACGAACAGATACCATTGGGCTACGCTAGCACACAACCGGGATGAATGGAGACGTTACTGGCACCCGCTCGAATAAATCGATGAATAACGGGGATTAAGTGATTGGATTTTGAGCCACATCCAGCTGTGCTCAGGGATCACTTCCATTTTTCCCTTTTTCATAACAGGGATCACTTCTGGCAGTGCTTGGGGAAACCAACTCTGGTGCTGGGGATTGAGCCCCCTGTCAGCTGTTTGCTTGCAAGGCAAGAGCCTTATCCATTTTACTACTACTCTGGTCCAGCAGAAGGTTTTACAGTTAATAGAGATTACCATAATCTATTGAGTTCATAATTTTTATTTTGAAATTGGCATGTTAAAATCATCAATGGCAGTTTAGCACTCTTTTGTAGCATTGTAGCACTGTCTTCCCATTGTTCATCGATTTGCTCGAGTGGGTACCAGTAACATCTCACAACAAGTTGTGAGACTTGTTGTTACTGTTTTTTGGCATATCGAATACATCACGGATTCATGGGGGACCATGAAGATCCAAGGATGGAACATAGAGTTCCTGCATGCAAATCATGTGATCCAAAGTTGCCAAGCTTTGCCGTTCGGGCAAGATACTCTCAGTAGCTTGCTGGGCTCTCTGAGAGGGGCAGAGGAATCGAATCCAGGTTGGCTGCATACAAGGCAAACGCCCTACCTGCTGTGCTATTGCTCCAGCCCATAGCACTCTTTTGTATATAGAATAATAATGTTTGAGGAGCTGGAGTTGTGGTACAGTGGGTAAGACATTTGCCTTTCTTGCAGCTGACCCTGGTTTGAGCCCCTGCAACCTATGTGGTCTCCTGAGCCTTTCAGGAATGATCCCTGAAAGCAGAGCTGGGAGTAAGCCCTGAGCATGACTGAGTATGGCCCAAAAACCGAACAAAAAATTAGGAGGGTTTTGGGAAAGTACCAGAAAAGTAGAGACAATTGACTTAATATGAGGGATTAAATTGTTGAGCTACTGACTTGATCTTCATGCTTCTGTTCCCCTCAAACATTTATCTCCCTTGCTGTCTCTGTTTCTTTGCTTGCCTATTTCCGCTCTAGAGAATCTTGTGTTTTCTCTTAAACACACACTTCTCTCTTTCTCTCCCCTCACACCTTTCTAAATGAGCATCAATAAAAACATCTTGCTTCACCAAAAAAATGTATTTGCGCTGCTAACAATTGAAAATTTATCAGGAATTTGGACAGAGACTCTCTATTTTTTTTTATCTTAGTTAACAAAAATTATTGATTTGTAGACATGTAACCTTTAATTTTGATGGAAAATGTCACAGTTGAGTTGCCTGTGGTAGAATTTAAACCAAACTGACCTCCTTTCTTTTTTTCCCTCATGGTGCTCTGTTTATTCCTGGCACTGTGCTCTGGGGTTACTCTTGATGGTGCTTGGGAGAACATGTATGATATGATAGACCCAAACTAGGGTTGGCTGCATGCAAGCAAGTGCCTTAACTCTGTACTACTTACTCCTAGTTTCCTGCTTAGGGGTCATTTCCAGTGGTACTTGGGGAAACAAACTGATCCATGCGAACAAATGCCTTACCACTTGTATTATCTCTCTGGCTGTATATGCTTTTTTAAAAAAAATCCCATAGATATATTTTTATATGTTCATATATATATTTTTATTTTGCAGTCAGCTTCAAGGCTCCTTGGCATGATAAAGAAGAGACCGCTTCCTGAATCAAAAAGGTAAAAGTGATTTACACTAGAGGTTTCCCAACTTACTTCACAAAAATTTGCTTAGTGCTCCCTGGAAATCTGCCTTCTTTAAGTGAACAAACAGAAAACGCATCACCCCTTGAGGCTGTCTGCTCATGTTTCAGCGTCTCCAAGGGGCAGTCTCACCTACTTTGGAAAATATTGGCTTATAGTGACTATATCATGATATATTGTTGAGTTGTTGTGTAATTTGAAAATATGGTATGGTACAGTAAACAGCTCAGAGACTCTGATTTGTGCATTTTTGGGGGTTTGTTTGTGGGCATTACCTTGTGGTGCTCTCGGGTTACACTGGGACTCAGTGCTGGTGCTCAGGAGTTGCACCCAGTGGTATTGACTGCTCAGAGAATCGTGTGGTACTAGGGTTTAAATCTGAATCTTCTGTATGTAGAGCATGCACTCAGCCCATAGAGCTATCTATATACCCCCACTGTAATTTAATATTAATCCTTACGGAATCTCTTAGGAAGTACTTTAAAGTACTTTCAAGTACTTTAAAGATCTCATGACCATCAAAGGAATAAAAAAGCAACAGGATCTCCAGATCTGAATTTTATTTATATTTATTGTTGCTGCTAATAGAGGGAAATATTCACTTATACTAAATTTCCTGTTTTTTTTTTTCTGTACCACACCTGGCTTTACGGCTGTTCCATGCTCATTGTTTGGGGGACCATGAAGTTCCAAGGATGGAACATAGAGTTCCTGCATGCAAATCATGTGATCCATCTCTTGAGCTATCATCCCCAATTCTAAATAATTCTCTTACTTAGACAACTACTATTCTTTGTTTTTTGTTTTTGGGTTGCACTTGTTGGTGCTAAGGTGTCATTTCTAGCTGTGCCTCTGGGACCGTGTGGTACTGGGGATTGAATCCAGAGCCTCTGCATGCAAAGTTTGTGCTGTAACACATTGAACTATCTCTCTGGCCTCAAAACTGTTACTGTTTGTTTTGTTTTGTTTTTTTGGGGCCATACCTGGTGGTGCTCATGGCTTACTCCTAGCTCTTTGCTCTGGGGTCACTCCTGGGCGACTATGTGGTGCTGGGGATTGAACTCTCATGTCAGCTGCATGCAAGGCAAACACCCTACCCACTGTACTATCATGACCCCTGTTACTCCTTTTAAAAGAAATTAAATTAAGGGTTTTACAATTACATGGTTTTATAATTATAAAACTGATAGCCTATATAAAGAGAGCAACCATGATAGATTTCAGCTGTTTAATTTTAAAAGTGTAGTATTACCATTTTGAGAATTTTATAAAAAGAGATTACAGAAATGATAGCTTTTCCAAAAATAACCATTCTTTCTTATCATCCATTCTTTCTTCTCATTAAGTATTAGTCACCACTACTTTCACTTGTCTTAGTTTTGCTTCTCTGCAGCTAGTCATTTTGTGTTTTTTGGTGGGAAAGAAAAGGCAGAGGCTTTATCACAACCCACTACCAGATCATTTCCTAGGCTGCCTCCCCTTCATCCCTCTTCAGGCTGTACCTGTGCTTTGGCAGAGTCATCCACGTGAACAGTAATCCCATTTCCTAAACTGGGGTATTAGTGTTGGATAACATTGGGTTGTCCTTGCTCCTCCCACAGGGAGCTTAAGGTTTATTGAGCTACTCCCACAACAGTGCCCCTGCGGTACACCCAATTCCATCAAGTACTGATATATTGCTTTTCTCTTTCCTTTATGTCATTTCCATGGTTTATTTAGCAATGTTCTTTTTGTATAGAAACAGGAAGACAGTTCATGCTGTGCTTTGTAACATGGAAGTTAATTGACTCCAAAATAAAATTTACTCCTGGGCATCCATAGTTACTTGACTTAAGCCTCAGTTGTCCTTAGTTCCTAGCACTCCAAAAGCAGGGTCCTGACGAAGGGACTGGATTGACCCAGGGCCAGCTGTAAGCTACCCTGGCATTGAAAGGAGACAAGCTAAGCACCATAAATATAATAAAAGCACGGTCATACAACAAACTGTCATGAACCAAAAAAAAAAGTAACTGAATAAGGACATTGCTGGGATTAGGAAAGACTAACCTGGCTTGAGAACTGTAGTCTGGGATATATAGTGAGATGTCCCCAAGAAGAGCCAACCTTTAAGCTTAATATATGTCTTACTGTGTTCATACAAAATGACATTGCTAGAATATTATAAGAAGTAAATTCACTATGATTATTTGAATGAATTACTAGCTGAGGACAGGATAAAGCAATATACCTTGAATGGAATCCCGCCCTTGAGCAGATCTCTAAGTAAGCTGGAGTGCTGAACCCTCAGATGAGATTTTATCCTTGAGTTAATCTAGAATTTATCCCCACCCTTCATGATTCCTTTATAACTATGCTGTAAGGGGTGAAAGAGGATTAGAAGGAGGATGAGAATTGGGACTTTGGGGCTTTGGGTCTGTGAGTACTAGAAGGAGGACTAGGTGATGACTATGAGACTATGATGAGACAAGGAAGAAAATACAACTAGATGAGAACAAAGAAGAGGACTTTGAGATCTACGAGGAGACTAGGATGATTGAACAATGATGACTGGGACTACGACCAAAACTATGACTATGATTGTGCTGTGAGGGAGAGATTGAACTATGCTGGGGAGGAGAGAGAAATAAACAGCCTTCCAACCAGCCTGTTCCCAGTTTCTCTGTTTCCCCGGTCCTCGGTCCATTCGCTGCCTTGTCGGGCCTGGAGAGGTGGCTCCTGGCCACCCAATGCTTGAGACCTGCACACCCCACCATGCTTTCTCTTGGAAACTCATTTGGAAACTTAAGACTAAATCTAAGTTTAGTCTTAGATCACCACTAGATTGCATCAGCCAACAGAGAGCTTTTAAATATTTTAAGAAGAATGAATGTAAATTTTATGTTTGTTTTGCTTTTGGGCCATGCCCAGCAATGACCAGGGGTTACTCCTGGCTTCGAATTCAAAATTACTCATGGTGGTGCTTGGGCGACCATCTGGGATACCGGGGATCAAACCCTGGTTGGCCACATGCAAGGCAAGCGTGCTACCTGCTGTTCTATCTCTCTGGTCCCAAGAAGAGTAAATATAAATTCTGTCAAGATTTGAAGGTTGAATTCATTCGTACTAAGCCATCTGATCCTGGACTTTTTCTTTTTGGAAGATTTGTTGTTGTGGTGTTGTAGGTTGCACTACCAGACACCACACACTTTTGTTGTGGTGCTAGAAGTGCATTTGTTTTGGTGCTGTAATGGTTTTGGGCACTGCAGTCAGTGATGTCTGTGCCAGGGACCTAGCTGATGATCTTGGATGTGCAGGGCATACCCTCTGCCACTTAGTTACATACTTCAGGCCCTGCTTTTGGGGGACATATTGTTTATTTTTAGGTAATTAATTTTTGGTTTGGGAGCTATATCTGATGGCTAGGGGTTATTCCGGCAGTGGTTGAGAGACTATATGGGATGCTGGGGATCAAATGCGGTTAGCCATGTGCAAAGCAAGCACTCTATCCGCTGTACTTTCTCTCTAGCTCCATGCTTTTTGGGGATTTTTAAAAATGACTACTCAATTTTCATACTTCATACTTGTGATTGAATATACAAGTTTTCTATTTCTTCTGATCAGTCTTGGTAGGCTGTATTTCTTTCAAAATCGTCCATTCCTTCTAGTTTATGAAATGTCTTGCCATATAGTTACTAAGAGTAACTACCATTACCTTTTGTATTTCCATGGTACTAATTTCTTCCTTGTTCCCTCACTTAATACCAGAGATTAACCCAGGGCTTCACACATACAAGGCAAACACTTCACTATGAGTCACATCACTGGCTATTAGGCTTTCTCCTTCCCTCCCTCCTTCCTCCCTCCCTCCCTCCCTCCCTTTGTCCTTCCTTCCCTTCCTTCCTTCCTTCCTTCCTTCCTTCCTTCCTTCCTTCCTTCCTTCCTTCCCTCCCTCCCTTCCTTCCTTCCTTCCCTCTTCCCTTTCTTCCTTTTTCCCTCCCTTCCCTCCTCCCTTCCTACCCCCCTCTCCTTCCCTCCCTTCCCCTGGGATACTGGGGCTTGAACCTGCTGCATGCAAGGCTAGTGCCCTATCCATTGTACTAACTCTTCAGTTCCCTTCTAAGAAATTTTTTTCTTTGGTGGTGGGCAGTGGGGCTGGTTGTGCTCAGGGCTTACTCCTGCCTCTGTGCTCAGGGATCACTCCTGCTAAGACTTGGGGACTATATGTGTGCCAGGGATCAAACTCGGATTGGCCATCTGCAAGGCAAGTGCCCTACCTGCTGTATTATAACTCCAATGTGGGTTTTTATTTATTTTGTAAGCCAATTTAAATCTTTTTGAAGATCCTACTCTTGGTTTTAGTGATCTTTTAAAAAAATCATTATGGGTTGCACTTTCAGAAATGCTAAGGCCTAATGATGCTTGGGGGTCACTGGGGTCACATCTGATATTGTTGGGGTGGGGTCATGTGGTGCCAGGGTTTAAGCCCGGTCTGTACTCTACCTCTCAAGGTTGGTTGGTTCCTGCCGCTTATTTATAATTTATCTTTTCATTTTAAGTTTTATTATTACTTTCTCTACTGGCATTTAGGTTTTTTTCCCCCTTTCTCAAGTTGCTTTATGTGTATGGCTAAATTGTTTAAGATTATCTTGTTTCCTGATTTATGTATGTTTGCTAATAACTTCCCTTTCAGTAGTGATTTTGCAGTATTCCATAGGTTCTTATAGCTATGTCTTCATTGTTGTTGTTTTCAGGTAATTTTTGTTTTATTTTGTGCCACAATTTGTTTTGCTCCAGGGCTACTCCCAGCTTGATGCTGAGAGTGGAGCTTCTGGCTGAGAGATACATTATTTTTTTTTTTTTGAGGCATTTGGGCTGGTGCTACTCAACAGTGCAAAGAAAACCATGCATGTTGGGTGATAGGGATCAAACTTGAGACCTTTCCTGTTAGTACTCCAGCCCTTTGAGCTATTTCCCCAACTACTCTCTTCAGGTGCTTT